GAAATGTACGGATCAAAAATACTATTTGAGAATAACATTTCATCTGTTAACTGGAAAGATTTCAAAGATGAATTCCTAGAGGGAAACTATTCTTGATTCCACTGTAGGAGATCCAAATAAATCCAATATTGTTAAGAGCGTCCTTTTTGACAATTTAATTTCCTTTCGTCGTCTCCCTTTGGCCTTGTATCTCATGGTGAAAATCTTCACCCGCGAAGAAGCGATATTTCACCGTAGCTGATCGTGTTCCTTTACATGTCACTGATATTTCATAGATCATTTCTCAAAGTCCACATATTGAGGTAGAAACACAGCGATTTTCAGCTATTTTGAAGACGACAAACAGCGTCCTTTTTGGTACTAGAAATCGTACAATTTGAAAGCACTAACTTGACGGTGAAATGGCTGGCGAAGCTTCCTGTTTCACGCGAATAGTAATTGGCCTCGATCTTCCATTTTCTTTTCATTTTATTCGCCATGTTTGGTACCAAATTAAAGCTTAGAAACGTGGCTTTCAGACTGGAACTGCTTTAATTTTACCGGTTTTTACTGGCGCCTTGCGCGCAGTGGTAAATAGCAGGAAATACGAACGAAAGATCAAGTCTAGGCTATTTAGTGTTAACAATGTCAGACCTTTTAAATTCCTTAGAAATGTACAAATATAAACAAAAGATCACAATGTCAACTGATGATCATTGTTTAAAATACGTGTGTTCTAGCAAATAACATCATTTACAATATGAACATTCCAAACGAGCACCTCACAAGCTAAGCCACTAATGAACTCAAGGATCAGGACGTACTATCCCAATACTCGTTTGTCGATGTTTTGAACGTTTCGATTTTAGCCCAGTATTGTATTAAGATAAAGGATCGTTCCCCAATATACGATACCCGAATTGAGATTAACCCTATTCAGACTGGGCTTTTTTTTTCAATCTGTGACTGGGGGGGGGGGGGGGGGGGGGGCTCATTCGGCTCCCCTCAATATCTTCGGAACCAATATGTCTATGAGCATGAAATTTTCACACAATGGTCGCCCACGTAAAATGAACCACCACACCCAGTCTTGACCCGTGGGGACCAAATGTGACGTCATAATGATGTCATTTTCACCATTTTAACGATTTATAATTCATTTTAATAAATTGCCTACAATTCCATAGAGAATGCTGCAATATCATCTGTTTATTATGACTTGAAAATAAATATACAAAAATAAATGACTTGAAAATAATATTTTTGTATTTTTTAATTGACCCCTGTTCTATATGACGTCACAATGACACAATTTTTATAAATTATATATCTATATCTAGATAACCAGTTAAATATCATATTTAGGCGTTACTGATCTCCTGTGATGTTGTGGTTCGTTTTGTATCCATGGTAACAGTTGTGACGTCATAATTGTGATGACGTCATTTCCTATAGTGTCTTTGACGTCTTTGAATAATTTGACTCCAAATCTCACTTTTTCTTGTCTACATCGTTTTTTTTATGGTACAATACAATTTGAGAAGTTTTTGAAGTTAAAAAATTTGGAACAAGCAATTTTGAGAAGAATATCCGCCTTCTTAGGATCCGCCATCTTGGACCGCCATCTTGAATTTTCTAAAATGCCATTAAAAAACTAAGCATTGAGGCAAACAGCTCAAAAAGTCTTAAATACTTCTCAAACTAACATTTAATGAATAAAAAAGTGAGTTTCGAAGTGTTACTGATGATTTTAATAAAATTTTCTCCCATGCGAAAAAATGACAGAAAACTACCCACCCCTCCCCCTAAAGTTTTTGTTGTTGAAAAAGTATTATGGTATCGTAGACTCAGCAATGGGAGCAAGCTCAAATAGGTAAAAGATGCATAATAAAACAAGAAATAAGCTTTAAAAATGAAAAATTAAGCATATTTTACATTTTTGAAAACCTATGTGTCAAAAACTGGTTGCCATGGCGACATGGATGACGTTATCAACAAAAAATTTACATCAAAATCTGCCCATATAAATTTTAGGAAAAGTCCGAAAGTTTCAGAGCTCTAGCTGTCTTGATTCGAAAGTTATTGGCTTTTTACGCGAGGGGGGCTCAAAAGGCCCCCCCAGTTTGAATAGGGTTTTAAAACAACACCATAGCCAGGATATATCAAGGAACGTGAAATCAGGTTCATTTGAGGAGGCATACATTTGATGATGCTGCATAAAAAGAAACTCAAGGTTTTTAGTACCAAAAAAAATATCATCATACATAATAATGATAGAAGTAATCGACTCGTTCCGTTAGTTCCCGAACCTCAGTGTCGATAATTAAAATTCTTTTCAAATCAAATTGTGTGTTTATTATTCAGAATGTGGCCATGGCCAGTACAAGACTTCTCTTAACAACAGCAAGTGTAAGATATGTCCAAATGGTTCTTACTCTTTTGGACGAAACACAATGTGCGTGTGTCATCCAGGGTTGTTTAGGATGAATGAAAATAAATATGATGAGCCATGTTACGGTAAGAATCGTGTAATTTTGTCTATCATTAAAGCTGTATTTGTTTGAAAGGTAAACATTATGGAAAAAGTTAAAAAAGGAACTTTATATTTCTAGTTTGCAATATCGTACTGTTTGACTGATCCAAATATTCCATTGATATTAATCACAATCTAAAAGCTTAGCACATGTTTATGAGCAAAAACAAACAACAAAGAGATATACATGATGGACGCAATGCCTCGGTTTGTTTTCAAGCCTGGAGATCACTTTGCCTCGTTAGGCAAGACACTTAACTTTCTCTTGAGTGCTTCTTTGCGCTTCTTGTGTAAAAGACAATGATCTAGTAGAGTTCCTAGTGGTATGATGTGGACTCATTTCATGGTGCTCTCATCTAAGTACTAACCGTTCAGGGTGTTAAAAGTGTTGTACGAGCTGACCTTGTCGGTAATTTGCTTGAATCACGTTACCTCGTAACGTACATTCAATGACGCGTATAGTACACACCTCTTTATCTTCAAATTAGCCATTCTGTTCAATATTATCCCAAATAAATCATATAGCCATATATTTTATCTATGCTATTTGATACTAGTTTTCCATATATTTTATTGACGTTTTTTACTCCGTTCTTCATTGTGCAGCTCTTCCTGGTGGTCCTAAATCTATAAATACAACTACGTGA